AAACAACAAATTAAAATATATTAATAAGTAAATAAATTATGATAAAATTTATTTACTGAGTAACAATTTATTTTAAGAAAAAAATTAACTTATTTAAAAATTCCTATCATTATTAATTTTAAAATAAACATTTTCTTTATTTATCCATCCATTTATTTTACGTTTACACGATGATATGTGTCAAGCTCCAAATACAATTATATTAAGTGACATAATTTAATGTAGGGTGTTTGTCAATTAGGAAGAGATTCTCCCCAATCAACAAAGGTCCTGAATTAAATTATATATATTGGAACACTAAATAAATTTTAACAATACATAATTAAATAAAAAGAATACAGAATATAAAGGAAAAAATATTTTTTCATAATCCAGCATGGCCCAAAATTCAGGTAACTGTGTTTATAAGCAATTCAATAATTTATGAAAGTATTCTAAAAACATTATAATTTGTGTATTGAGCAAGAAGTATTTCACTTTATTACAAATTTTTATAAAAACTGTAACAAAGAACGGTGAACCGTTGATATACTGTAGCGAACTCTCAATAGACTGTACTGTCATGTTATTCTTTATGTATGTAGCGAAAGGACTAATAAAATTGTTCACTACATTGGAAGTTTACTATATCGGATGGTCTCTGTATCAAGAATCTACTGTATTTGAATAAGACAACAGTCACTACAACATAACTATGACACAACTGGAGAAGTAACCAAACAAAAGATCAATTACTATAGGCTTTCTTCAGTTGATCTATAGCTGTTGGTCTTTCAATTTGTTTAATTAAATATATTGTTGGAATTACAGGAAGTGTACTGCTTCTTTTGTTTAGTCATTAACAAGGTTAACTGACTTTTGGACCATCGTGTGTTTAATCTGACTTCATTTTATTATTAATTACATCATACAACTTTTTAAATAAGACTATTTATAATTTATAAATAAAAATCAATAAAAAAGAAAATTACATTTAAAGTTTAAAGTTTTTTTCCCTCTGTTTTAATTAATATTTTCAGAAGATTAGTGAAGATTAGTTGCATTGTCTAATCACCATATTGTATAGATTTTTATCGTTTTTTGTGTTTTAAACATCAATAATTTTTTTTTTAAATTGTGAAAAAGAATGAGCAAAAACTTATATATAATACGTCAGAATGATAAATTACAAAAAACTGAACAGAACATTTTCAATAAATATTCAAGATAAGAAAGTTATTAAATAATAATAGCTTAAGGGAATTGGGAAATCAGGGATTTTTTCCTCCTAAGAAAACTTTTGATGTGCTTTGTCATATCACTAATGTTGAAGAATGAATGGGTATAATTTATATTAGCTCATAAGCAGAAAAGAAATAAGCTGAAATAGTTAGTTGGTTAAAAGTACTTTTTAGTTATTTAAAAAAAATTGAAAAAATTATTAATACTGATGAGTTTTAATCAATAATTAAATAATTTATCTTAGCTGAAAGCTTAAAAAGTTTCAGTAAATTTGCCTCTCTAGACACTTCAAGTTTAAATTTAATTTTTAATTTTATTTATATTCAACTTAGAGTCAAAATAAAAGTTCAAATTTATATTAAATATTCACATTTATTTAATATTCAAACTTATATCCAATTTTTAATACCTTTCTGAATAAAATATTTTGCATTTCAATTTAATATTCACCAAATTTGATATGAAAAAATGTTGAGTTCCGTTTGTTTATCAGTTAAATTTTCAGGAGAGTTTAAAAAATTATTTTTTAAAATTTCAAACTTTAATGGAAAACAAATCAAGTATAATCGCATTTTTTAATATATTCAATAAACTTTTACTGATCGATAAAAGGACGAACGGTGATAAGTTTTACGTTTCAAAATCGTTAAATACCAAATTTTATTCAAAATTATTAACAAAAACCGATTTAAAATTTAGCAAAAATGCTCTCTTCATATATTTTCAAGTTTACATCCGTTTTTGACAAATTTATGGAACTGTAACTGATAGAAAAAAACCTGAAAAATTTAGCTTCAGCATAAGTATTTAAATAATTAAATACTACATTCTATATGATATTTATTTTAAATTGTCGATATATTTAAACAGAATCTTGTGCGACATACTGTATTTCAAAGCATGTAAAGTACTGACATTTATAATTATTGAAATTTGTAAATATATCATGCAAGTTTTCCTTTTGATTTCCTGAACAAGAAAGAAAACCGAAGTATTAGATAATAATAATAATAAAGAAAATATATTCGTTTGTTATTTTTTTTAGAGATTTATTTGTAAGTAAAATTTTGAATATAATCTTATTTAACTATAGTAATTGAAGCATTAATTCTTGAACCGTTAGAAATTATTTCAATTGGAATTTTAAAATATTACAAGAAAGAATTTTAGATAAGATTTAAATATCTTGAATATGGATTTAAAATAAATTTTTAGTTATTTGTTTTTCTAAATATTAAAAATTTATTTAATCAAAAAGAATTGTAATGTAATTAGTTGCAGATACTGTACTTTTTAAAAATTCAAAAATCAGTTTTTTATATTAGTTTCGTTATTCATATTTCTCTTCCATGTAATATTCAATAAACAAATTACTGTATTTTTAAATACAGTAATTTATTTAATGTAAATTACTGTATTATTAAATACAGTAATTTACAGTAACATTTGAAAAATTTTTAAATAATGAATTATACATAAATTATTTTTGAAATATCTCATAATATACAAAACTTATAAGCATTATCTTAAAAATCGATTGTTCATTTGATGTCGTCTCATTTAAATCTTTCCTTTTAGTAAAAATCTTTAAAGAAGACATTCGACTTCATAATTACACATTAGTAAAATGAGAAATTTTGAAAATACTTTCAGTAATTTTACAGAAAATAAATATGAACATTCGGAAATTCGTGAATTTCTTTCAAATAATGTTTTTGTAAAGGAAAAAAAAGATAAAGTGGATTCTTTATATTTTAAAGGTCGATCGATTGGATAAATCGAGCAAAAGATTGACATTGCTTTAGGTGCTGTCAATGCTGGATAGTTTTTACACTAGATCCCTCCGATCTCCATTTCAATATGACACTAACATCTGCACCATCTGGATATAACAGATTGGTGGTTTTATATATGAGAAGATTGAATGAATTTAATTTTAACCATTTTCTAGAAAGATTTTTTTTGTTGTTGCAGATTGCATTCAATTATTAAAATTATAAGGAAATTGTATAAATTGAATTTAGAAATCATATCACATCGCTCTTAACAGAGAGTAGGCGATAACAGAGTTTTAGGTCATGGTTTCCTGGGGCATTGATAAGTCTTAACAAAGTTTATTGCTGAAAAAAACGAAAAAGTATATATAAAAATATCGATTTTCTTTTGTAAAAATATCACAAGAAGTAAAGTAAGTTGTCGTGTTAAGCACTGGTTTAAATGATCCTTAAACAGTTAAGTGATTTAATGATTACAGATTTCTTTACATAAGAATCAATTATATGCCATTGTTAAAATATAACTAAATCTTTTGTATAAATTTTCATTAATAAATCTTTAAAAAATAAAATTAAAATTTACGTAAACATGAATATTAAACACATAATAATTGCATTTTTAATTGGAAAATTTTAAAGGATTTAGGCTACTCTTAATTTAGAAAATATTCTTACTGAAATTATAAAAGGAATTTAAAATGATAAATCGTTTTAAATTATCATTAAAAAAGAAAATTATGCATTAAAAATTTAAAATAATAAAAATAAAGTAAATGATTATTAATGTAAGATTTTTCCAACTGTGCTTTTATGATAAAGTAAAACAAGGTTAATACACAAACTCTTTATTTATCATAAGATTGAAATTATATCAAACATTAACATTTTACATTTAGTGAGATTAATAATTTCTCTTTGTTATTTAACTATATTTAATTTTAGTTTGATTAAACTTTCCTGCAATGAATGCATTTATCTATTGTGACTAACTTCTAAATTACTTGCTTTGTTTCACAAATTAAATCTGACAAACCATAAAATATAATATAATTATTATAGTATATCATTATTTAAAATATTCTGTTATTGAAAATAATTTATTTTATTATTAAAATAATTGTTTTTATTATGTTATATATTTCCTTAATTNGGAATTTCCCCACTGTATACGTACTTTTTAATATCAATTAATGAATTTTATATATAAATAAAACATTTATATATAAAATTTCAATCTAAAATCCTTATTTTTAAGGTTATTACTAAAAATTTCAATTAGTAAAATTAATTTTACAGAGAAATTTTATCTTTTAAGTACAATGATAACTTACATTAGTTATGTATACACTGAAGCAAAGTACAGTATATACTAAATACATTTTATTCCGAATTTATAAATTTTAAACAGTAAAAATTGATGATAAAGTGCATTAAGGCATAATAAAGGCTATATTAAATGTATGATCCACAATGGATCAGCATTATTCTATATAGCGTGAAAAATTAATATTGCTCCCTATATAGATATATATAAATCTTGCCATTTATAGCTGTAGAAATGCACCAATTAAACAAACGTCACTTTACTCCCTAATTGAGTAGTCTGAGGTATAGCATTAACTGTATTTAAAGCTTGGAGGGCCAATCTGTTTGCTAAACGTGCTCTATTTGTAGAATGTAGATACTGTTCATGAGCGGCATTTATATATTGACGGTACATTTTACACTCTTGCTGTTCTTTAGCTTCTTTTCTCATATATTTAATCATCATAATGCCTATACCAAACGAATAGAAAAACAGCACCACTACTATATATATAACGGCGTTTTTTTGATTTTCTGGTGAATTTGGATCCGATTTTTCTTCTTCGTTTTGTATACCAGAATTGTTTGAGACGTTCGAAGCTAGTGAAGCTAGATAATCGTTCAGATATCTTGTTATATTGTGACAATGAATAGTGATGTAGGCATTTCCTACTGGAAGTTCTGCACTAGCATTACTCATGTCTGTGCAGATAGCATTCATGGCAGGAAAAACGATCGATCATGTTTTATCCGTTTCAGCTTTACCTATGGAAACAAAAACTATTCATTATTTATTTATAACAACAACATTTTAACTTATACATTAATCTCATTCAAATTACTTACATTTATACAGCTTGTTTTTATTAATTAAGCTATAAAATGAAATATTGCTGTAGCAATTAATGAAACGTAAAATATCTTAAAGACAAAATGTAAATTTCTTTTTATTTTTCAGCAAGAATATAAAGTTTAAAACAATTTCCTGATATAAAACATTTTAAACTTTATTAAAAATTTTTATTTTATGCATATTTTATGCTATTTTAAATGCTTAATTTCATATTATGCTAATTTCATTTGCTTAATTTAAATTCATATTTTAGACATTAAAGTATAGTTTTTAAATATTTAAATATTAAAAATAACTTATTTTCAAACTTTAAATTAAAAAACAACAGATGTTTTTAATAATTTATCTATCTATATTTTTAAAAATAAATAAATAAAATATTTTTTTATAGTAAAAGCACATTTAGAAACGTATTCTTCGAAAACAAAATGTCACATTAAATTAAGATTTCACTTCTATGAACGTTTCGTGACTTTAACAATTTCATAACAACAACAACTTACCATTTATTTATGTTTTTACTGACAGGAGAAAATGTAAGTTCATTTTACCACTCATCTTGTTAAATCTTCACTTAAAGGTTCTTAGCAGGATAAGTGGCAAGAGATTTCGCTTTACTCTAATCTAACTTATATATCTTCTATATTTTTAAACAGAAGAAAACAATATATATATACGTATATTCTCACTTTATCTAAGAAGCAAATAGTCCATTTCAAAAATAAACATCATTTTTCTGAAAAATATATGGAGCACTTTAAAATCCACATGAACTTTCAAGTCTTATGTTTACATTTTCTTAAATTTAATGTGTTTGTTCGAATTAATATAAATGATTTAAAGTTAATAAATTGAAACATTTTATTTATATAAGGAAAATATAATTATTTTAGTAATTTTTTAATTAAAAATATTTTTTGATTGTTTAATTTCATCTGTTTAATCAAGTGTCTGTATATTGTTTCTCGAATTTCCGGTCTATTTCATTCCGGAATTTCCTGGCAGTTCCCGGCATATTTTTATAATGCAAGAAAGAAACCAATTTTATAGTTTAATTACTTGTGTATCACTTATATTAGGAAACTTTTTGTCATTTGGACTTATCTGTACATTTGCTATTTGAAAAATATTATTTACAAGAAAGAAATAACGAGTCTAACCAAAGTAATATATCTTATTTCGTTAACTCNCATATATACAACTATACATATAAATATATATATATATATACAACTATATATATAAAATATCAAAATCAGAAAAAAATCCATATCTTTTTATAATTTTTCATATTCCTTCCTTAACGACATTTGGTGATAGTTAAAATTATTGTAAATATTACTTCATAATGATTATCAAAAAATAATTTCAATTTTAAAATTTTAAAATTTCTTTACTAAAAATTTAATATTTTTTAGATTAAAAGAATATAAACTAATACGAGAAAATAAAATCAATCAGTGAATAAATAATGACTAATCTGATTAAGATTTCTAATGGATTTATTAATGTAAGAAGTATTTAGATAGGATGATAAAAGCAAATTCAAAATTTGGAGTAGACTGATTATAATTGTGACATACTGTAAAAGTAATTATAATTCTAAGTATGATGATAAACTAAACATGCGTTGGTTTGGTTAGAAAAGTGTACGCTATTACATTAATTTAACGTCATTTTATAGTTTCCGATTACAAAATAAGATATCCAGCAACGTGTTGCTGGATTTTTCATTTAAGAAACACTAAGAGACATTGGCACAAGTCAAAATTGTGTGTGGTATCATTTGTTATTAGATAATAATAAAAACAATTTTTATATTATTAATTATTACAAACTATATTTTTTTTTAAAAAACTCATCTCTACTCTCAAAATTTTGTCTTTTGACCAAAAAAGACAAAATTTTGAGAGTAGAGATGAGTTTTTTAAAAAAAAATTGTAAATGCCAATAACAAGGAAAATTTTCATTATATGGCATTTTATCTGCCTCTCGACTTTTAACCTCCTAAATTTAATGGCATCAATGCACCTTGTATGCAAGTTACCTTGTCAAATATCCTTTCTCAATCATTATCTCATCCTGAAATATTAAACGAAAAAGACGCCAATACACTCGGAATTTCCCCCTTTTTCACGTTTTTGGGTTCAGGGGATTTCAAAACGTCACAATTTAAAAAAAGCTGAAGGATCAAATTTGACACGACTGAAATACTTTCACGTCTTATACTTAACAACCAGAAAAATATAAGGAGAAATGACTAAACTAACGGAGAAGTGTACACTATTCTGAAAAATGAAATACATCTAAAGATGATAATTAAGATGAGAAGTAAAATGGTGATTAAGATGAGAACTAGAAGATGATTAGGATGATTACAAACTTGTAAGACGAGATTAAGTTGAGTTCTCGTTCTAGTTATTAAGATGATGAGTAGCATGATGAGTAAGATGATAACTACTCTCATTATTGCAAAATAACTATTTTTTTAAATTTTTTCTTTCAAGAGTCAAATTATTCAATATTTTACTAAACTAACAAAAACTATTAGGCTTTACACATGATACGTTTAAATCATGAAATATTTACAGAAATATCGGATTAAATATGAGCGATTTTGATTTCCTGTATATATAAAAATGATGAATATATAATCAATTAACTAGTTATTCATCTATCAAAAATACGTTTATATACAAAAAATACATTCTAATTTAGACAATATGTTTNAAATCTTGTATATATAATACAGGGTGGACCAAAAGTCAGTTAACCATTATAAAGACTAAATTACTATATTTTACAATTACAAACTTTATAAAAATCGTTTAAAATGAGATATTTTTGTTAAATGCACAAATTAAAACGTTTTACCAGATTAAATTATAACTTTTTAAAATTCTTTTAGTGTTTGCTTGAGAAATTCTTACCCGTTGAGTGACTTTTGGGTCAACCTTTTAACGTTCTTCAGGGAATACACAAGATGATAAACTTTATTTAGTTAAAAAATATTATTCTTTTAAAATGTTTAATTCATAATTATTTATTTTTTCAAATTATAAATGTCAAAGTTTAATATTCATTTGTATGGAATGTCTAATTTTTTAAATAAATAATTTTTTTCATATATCTAGAGCCTAAATAATATCAATTTTATCATGAAACATGCTATATTTTAGTAATTTTTAGTTGTTTTAAATCATTTTTATGTTATTAATTAACAAATTAAATTTTATAAATGTTTTAATGCAAAAAATGAGAAGTTTTAGAGAATTGTTTAAAAATTTTCATCATTTCTTACACTTGGATAAAAAGTGATTCAAAACATGGATTTTTGGTCCAACATCTTTCAGGACAAGGGTATCCACAAAGGAGAGCAAACGAGGCACTTGCCCTCCATGGATCGAGTACAAAGCTACACAAATTATAATCGTAAAAGTTATTAAGATCTTACACCCTCGACCATGACTATACTACAATCTACTTGTGAAAAAAACTCAAAATAATTTGAAATTTATTGATGCCCCTGGGAAATTTTATGCGGATGCACGTTCCAGAGTTATAAAATCTTTTTCAAATATAGTGTGGATTTATTGTTATTTTTTAGCAGAAAATCGTGTTACAATAATCTAAATCCAACAAGATATGTAGCCTTTCTCTGCCAAGTCCTGTTGAGGTACGACTGATACGTCAAAGGTTCTGTATAACTATAGGAACATAGTGGAATTGTTCGCATACTTCATGAAAATTTCCAATACAAAGAATTTACAAAGCGTAAAAATTATAAAATTCTGCTTTAAATGTTTGTTTGTTTGTTTGTTTGCTATACATTCCTAGGCCGTTTGACCAACGGCTACGAAACTCGGCAGTTACGTTTACATACTAAAAGCTTAGATAATGTACTGTACATCCCATCCCAAAAAATCTAATGAATTTCTATACATCGATTAATTTCTGTTTACATTTGATTCGCCGATTTAAACGTAGCCCCATCTATAGGCAAAAATTTAACAAAATAATAAATTAAATATAATTCTTATAAAAATGATATAATTTTAAAATATATATATTATATTCACTGAATTACTGCGACAGGTAGAATATAGCACTTGCCTGTGTGTAATCGAAAGTGTTATTTTGAAAATTTCCGCATTTAACGACTCGGATTTTTTAATTTCTGAATAGTACTCTCTTAATTCTATTAAACGCTTTTCAGTAGCCGAGTGCATAAAACCACCGAACTCTGGTAGTTAGTTAGTCGTAGGAAATTTGGCCACGTGAAATTTTCCAGATTTTCATCACGTTAGTAGCAGCTAAATGGGGGCCAAATTTCCATAAAAGTCCTCCCACGATGCATCCCCCTCGGCAGATCACTATGACATTGGAAAAGCGTGTGACCTTGTTACAGTTCTGTGGTTCTATAGAAGTAGTCTTTCTCGGAATAACCGAAGATTGTATTGCAATAAAAATAAAATAAATAATAGCATATATAATTTTTTATTGATTGCTTCCTTCTACAATCAAGAAAATAATCGAATTTTTATACTTATACGTAAGGAAAAATAAATAAGATATTTTATATATATTTATTGTCACAATGCCGATGTACAACTTTTCGTCGCAATGTTCTCAATTATTTTAGTAATGGTCTTGTACATCATACTGTTCCTATTAGCAATAGAGTTGTGCTGGTCATCTATCTAACTCCGTTCGGGAAAATTTTGAATCGAAGTAATGTGACTTCCGTTTCAAACCGGAAGTTCGTATATAATTAATTAGGGTCTCCTGTCCCTAAACATTCTCGACCTTTATCTAACTAACTCATTTCTCGAGATTAAGAACGGAGAGCAAACAGAGGACAACAATCAGAATTTATAGGTCTGCAATTTTTTCAAATTGCAGCCCAATAATGTTTCTATAAACGCAATATTTACGTAAACATATTTCTCGTGTAGTTTATACGATCTGTTGCCAAAATTTAAACACTTTATCATATAAAAGGAATTATTCTAGCATTTTACAAGATATTTTTTTAAATTTAAACAGGTCGTATGAAGTTTTTCGGAAGTTATGGTTAGTTAGTCGTAGGTTCGAGTACGATAACTTCGATTACGTACGGAGTCATCACAATGACATTCCAAATTAACAAATAATATAAAATATCATCATTCTAAGTTTACTTTTCACTCCAAATACAATATTAATGTTCCGGACAAAAACAAAATAGTTTTAAATATGTTTTTATAGAAAATGATAGCAAAACATATTAACAAAGGTAATAAAAAGGATCGTTTAGGGGGGAAAAATATGTTGATGCATCAATCTTGAGGCAGGAATCAATAATGTGTCTAAATGGAAAAGCATGTGACCTTGTTACAGTTCTGTGGTTCTATAGAAGTAGTCTTTCTCGGAATAACCGAAGATTGTATTGCAATAAAAATAAAATAAATAATAGCATATATAATTTTTTATTGATTGCTTCCTTCTACAATCAAGAAAATAATCGAATTTTTATACTTATACGTAAGGAAAAATAAATAAGATATTTTATATATATTTATTGTCACAATGCCGATGTACAACTTTTCGTCGCAATGTTCTCAATTATTTTAGTAATGGTCTTGTACATCATACTGTTCCTATTAGCAATAGAGTTGTGCTGGTCATCTATCTAACTCCGTTCGGGAAAATTTTGAATCGAAGTAATGTGACTTCCGTTTCAAACCGGAAGTTCGTATATAATTAATTAGGGTCTCCTGTCCCTAAACATTCTCGACCTTTATCTAACTAACTCATTTCTCGAGATTAAGAACGGAGAGCAAACAGAGGACAACAATCAGAATTTATAGGTCTGCAATTTTTTCAAATTGCAGCCCAATAATGTTTCTATAAACGCAATATTTACGTAAACATATTTCTCGTGTAGTTTATACGATCTGTTGCCAAAATTTAAACACTTTATCATATAAAAGGAATTATTCTAGCATTTTACAAGATATTTTTTTAAATTTAAACAGGTCGTATGAAGTTTTTCGGAAGTTATGGTTAGTTAGTCGTAGGTTCGAGTACGATAACTTCGATTACGTACGGAGTCATCACAATGACATTCCAAATTAACAAATAATATAAAATATCATCATTCTAAGTTTACTTTTCACTCCAAATACAATATTAATGTTCCGGACAAAAACAAAATAGTTTTAAATATGTTTTTATAGAAAATGATAGCAAAACATATTAACAAAGGTAATAAAAAGGATCGTTTAGGGGGGAAAAATATGTTGATGCATCAATCTTGAGGCAGGAATCAATAATGTGTCTAAATGGAAAAGCATGTGACCTTGTTACAGTTCTGTGGTTCTATAGAAGTAGTCTTTCTCGGAATAACCGAAGATTGTATTGCAATAAAAATAAAATAAATAATAGCATATATAATTTTTTATTGATTGCTTCCTTCTACAATCAAGAAAATAATCGAATTTTTATACTTATACGTAAGGAAAAATAAATAAGATATTTTATATATATTTATTGTCACAATGCCGATGTACAACTTTTCGTCGCAATGTTCTCAATTATTTTAGTAATGGTCTTGTACATCATACTGTTCCTATTAGCAATAGAGTTGTGCTGGTCATCTATCTAACTCCGTTCGGGAAAATTTTGAATCGAAGTAATGTGACTTCCGTTTCAAACCGGAAGTTCGTATATAATTAATTAGGGTCTCCTGTCCCTAAACATTCTCGACCTTTATCTAACTAACTCATTTCTCGAGATTAAGAACGGAGAGCAAACAGAGGACAACAATCAGAATTTATAGGTCTGCAATTTTTTCAAATTGCAGCCCAATAATGTTTCTATAAACGCAATATTTACGTAAACATATTTCTCGTGTAGTTTATACGATCTGTTGCCAAAATTTAAACACTTTATCATATAAAAGGAATTATTCTAGCATTTTACAAGATATTTTTTTAAATTTAAACAGGTCGTATGAAGTTTTTCGGAAGTTATGGTTAGTTAGTCGTAGGTTCGAGTACGATAACTTCGATTACGTACGGAGTCATCACAATGACATTCCAAATTAACAAATAATATAAAATATCATCATTCTAAGTTTACTTTTCACTCCAAATACAATATTAATGTTCCGGACAAAAACAAAATAGTTTTAAATATGTTTTTATAGAAAATGATAGCAAAACATATTAACAAAGGTAATAAAAAGGATCGTTTAGGGGGGAAAAATATGTTGATGCATCAATCTTGAGGCAGGAATCAATAATGTGTCTAAATGGAAAAGCATGTGACCTTGTTACAGTTCTGTGGTTCTATAGAAGTAGTCTTTCTCGGAATAACCGAAGATTGTATTGCAATAAAAATAAAATAAATAATAGCATATATAATTTTTTATTGATTGCTTCCTTCTACAATCAAGAAAATAATCGAATTTTTATACTTATACGTAAGGAAAAATAAATAAGATATTTTATATATATTTATTGTCACAATGCCGATGTACAACTTTTCGTCGCAATGTTCTCAATTATTTTAGTAATGGTCTTGTACATCATACTGTTCCTATTAGCAATAGAGTTGTGCTGGTCATCTATCTAACTCCGTTCGGGAAAATTTTGAATCGAAGTAATGTGACTTCCGTTTCAAACCGGAAGTTCGTATATAATTAATTAGGGTCTCCTGTCCCTAAACATTCTCGACCTTTATCTAACTAACTCATTTCTCGAGATTAAGAACGGAGAGCAAACAGAGGACAACAATCAGAATTTATAGGTCTGCAATTTTTTCAAATTGCAGCCCAATAATGTTTCTATAAACGCAATATTTACGTAAACATATTTCTCGTGTAGTTTATACGATCTGTTGCCAAAATTTAAACACTTTATCATATAAAAGGAATTATTCTAGCATTTTACAAGATATTTTTTTAAATTTAAACAGGTCGTATGAAGTTTTTCGGAAGTTATGGTTAGTTAGTCGTAGGTTCGAGTACGATAACTTCGATTACGTACGGAGTCATCACAATGACATTCCAAATTAACAAATAATATAAAATATCATCATTCTAAGTTTACTTTTCACTCCAAATACAATATTAATGTTCCGGACAAAAACAAAATAGTTTTAAATATGTTTTTATAGAAAATGATAGCAAAACATATTAACAAAGGTAATAAAAAGGATCGTTTAGGGGGGAAAAATATGTTGATGCATCAATCTTGAGGCAGGAATCAATAATGTGTCTAAATGGAAAAGCATGTGACCTTGTTACAGTTCTGTGGTTCTATAGAAGTAGTCTTTCTCGGAATAACCGAAGATTGTATTGCAATAAAAATAAAATAAATAATAGCATATATAATTTTTTATTGATTGCTTCCTTCTACAATCAAGAAAATAATCGAATTTTTATACTTATACGTAAGGAAAAATAAATAAGATATTTTATATATATTTATTGTCACAATGCCGATGTACAACTTTTCGTCGCAATGTTCTCAATTATTTTAGTAATGGTCTTGTACATCATACTGTTCCTATTAGCAATAGAGTTGTGCTGGTCATCTATCTAACTCCGTTCGGGAAAATTTTGAATCGAAGTAATGTGACTTCCGTTTCAAACCGGAAGTTCGTATATAATTAATTAGGGTCTCCTGTCCCTAAACATTCTCGACCTTTATCTAACTAACTCATTTCTCGAGATTAAGAACGGAGAGCAAACAGAGGACAACAATCAGAATTTATAGGTCTGCAATTTTTTCAAATTGCAGCCCAATAATGTTTCTATAAACGCAATATTTACGTAAACATATTTCTCGTGTAGTTTATACGATCTGTTGCCAAAATTTAAACACTTTATCATATAAAAGGAATTATTCTAGCATTTTACAAGATATTTTTTTAAATTTAAACAGGTCGTATGAAGTTTTTCGGAAGTTATGGTTAGTTAGTCGTAGGTTCGAGTACGATAACTTCGATTACGTACGGAGTCATCACAATGACATTCCAAATTAACAAATAATATAAAATATCATCATTCTAAGTTTACTTTTCACTCCAAATACAATATTAATGTTCCGGACAAAAACAAAATAGTTTTAAATATGTTTTTATAGAAAATGATAGCAAAACATATTAACAAAGGTAATAAAAAGGATCGTTTAGGGGGGAAAAATATGTTGATGCATCAATCTTGAGGCAGGAATCAATAATGTGTCTAAATGGAAAAGCATGTGACCTTGTTACAGTTCTGTGGTTCTATAGAAGTAGTCTTTCTCGGAATAACCGAAGATTGTATTGCAATAAAAATAAAATAAATAATAGCATATATNAAAATCTAATATATTTATACTTAAAACATAATTAATTATAAATTTTTAATGCTTTTATATACATTGTTCTTCTTAAAGAATAACAACAACTTTGCACTTGTAAATTCTTTACCCAATCTCAATTTTTCACTTTAACTATTGAGTGTGAAATTTTTAACATTAAACCTATGAATAATTTTAAATATCCCTCGACTTACCTTTACATGTGTAAATTATGTATTATAATTTCTAAGACAGCATTTAATTGGGAATAATATGAAGTGCTTCCTATCAGCCATGTTTCGTTCCGAGTTTGCTTTCGATCTAACTTACCTCTACGTTTGAACCACACTGTCATCTGTCGCCATGGTAACAACTTCCGAACGCCTCTTCTCCACTATACTACCAATAAGATATATCTTTATATCAAAAATAGTATAAATTTATTCATATAAGACTATATAATTAAGCAATTCCCCTATAAATATACTACACATTCCACTCATTCACTTGCAAATAATCTCCCAAATAATCAAAATATAAACTTTAAACATGGATTAAGTTAATCCATCCGTGTTTATTTTAATATATAAATAAGTTATTAAGTCATTTCAACGTTTTATAAACGTTGTAAATGTTATTTAGTTTTTATTATTTACAGCATTCCCTACGGAGTGTTTACACGTACCTTAAAATAATTATTATCTAAAAGGTAGTTACTATAACATTTTTCTTTCTTTTTTTTTACATTTTAATTACTAAATTCTCATCTATGATCGTAATTAACTTAACTAAATATATGTATTTACATTCATACGCTATGATAAACATTTTTCCAGTATTTAAATAAGATAAAAGTGGAAGATGATAGAAAACTTTTTTCTCTGCTTCTTATGTAAATTCATTTTGAAAGGACGTTCCAGATACTTGATTTTGAATCTATTTTTTATTATTTTTCTATTTTTGAATGCTTAAAATAACATTTTTTCTTATAAAAAGTATATATTTTATAAAGGAAACTGTCTTTTATTCTTTATTTCAGTTTTAAATAGTATAACTCCTATGTTACAGTTGAGTGTACAAATTAAAGTTCAAGACAGGTTCAAACTAATCTGAATAAATCGGATTAAAAGCGTCAAATTCTAAATTTAATTTTATGTTAAATTTTATTTATTATCCTTTAAAACGTTTTTATTAAAGTTATACGAAACTTCTTAATTAACACGTTTTAAAATTGTTTATTGAACTAATTAATGCGCATTATTTTTAATAAGTAACTCGTAATTATCAAATAACAATAATTTACTACACTTTTCAAATGATTTAAATTAAATATATGAAACTTCTTTAAAAAAATAATTGAGAAATTTCATAGATTATATGCATATTTTATTAATAATTAAATCGCAATTTAGTTAACTGTAATTAAAAATATTAAAAAATAATTATGTTTTTATATATCATGAAATTTATTTAAACATTTTTATATTAATTGTTTAGAATAATATTTTAATTTTATACAAATTTTTAAAATAATTTAAAATAAATTTGAATTATTCTTCTAAAGTTGGAGAATTTTCTAAAAATAAAATAAGAAAAATTGATTTTATAATTGCATTTATAAAAAAAGAATTAAATTGAAAATAAAGATTTTTGAGAGTATTTTACAATCGACAAATTCGATTATGTGTTAAATGCTTTAATTAAACTGCTTCAATTAAGTTGTTTTTTTTAAATTTTACTTGAAAAATTACAGAAAGTTCCTTCGAGAAAGATTTATTGATTTAATATTAATTAAATGGAGAACAGTAATTATTAAAATACGATTTAATTCTGACAATGATTAAGCTAAAATTTTAAAGCTCAATTCTCTTGAAATCCTATATCTTTATTTTGAATTAATTTATAATAAAATAAAAATCTTTGTTAATTATTATCATCATTTTTATAATTAGCATTATATTATATTTAAAATATTAATCTTTGGAAATTAATATTTTATCATTTAATTTATAGTTTACTGTTTTATCTCGTACGCCACATCTTATATAAAAAGTTTAAGCTGCATTTCTCACGCTTTAATTAAATAATTTATGATTAAAAATTAGTTTAATATTTATTTATAATGGAATAAGGCTTAGCCTCCAAATTTACTCATTATTTATGGGCTATTTTTCAAGTTTAGGGCGATAATCCATCTACCAGGTGAGTTGTCAAATGTCGTGGATGGCTTGAATCTACCGCTCGACATAATCATTCATTTGTATATAAGTGATCTTCAAACCTTTTTTCTCATTATTCTTCGAATGATAATAGATTTCATACATATAAAATTTCTCACTTAGTCCATGTAGATGGCAGTTATTCTTGAAAAACGCGCAAATAATCCTTTAAATAACAAATAAGTTTTACAATTACTTTATAGGAAAAAGTTTAAAGCAAATTACTGTACAAATAAATAAAAAATTTTTGTAAATAAAAAAATTAAAATGCATAACTTGTTTCCTAGAATAAAATTAAATAATTTAAAAATATTTTTTGATTGTTTAATTTCATCTGTTTAATCAAGTGTCTGTATATTGTTTCTCGAATTTCCGGTCTATTTCATTCCGGAATTTCCTGGCAGTTCCCGGCATATTTTTATAATGCAAGAAAGAAACCAATTTTATAGTTTAATTACTTGTGTATCACTTATATTAGGAAACTTTTTGTCATTTGGACTTATCTGTACATTTGCTATTTGAAAAATATTATTTACAAGAAAGAAATAACGAGTCTAACCAAAGTAATATATCTTATTTCGTTAACTCTTTGTATTATGGAATTTTTCAATTTCTCAGCATATAATAACTTTCATTGATTTCGCTCTTCTATTATAAAAATAAGCAGTTCCTCTGAAGGTTGCATCTTTATTGCATAATTTTTCTGTGTCAATTTTTACAGAATCAAGCAGGACGCAATTTCCTTAATGTCATCAAATCCTTCATCCGTTAAAGATTGTTTATGATCTACGAGTGCTGTATATCGATCAACACTTGAAATTACAGATCTTAATTCTAAGAATCACCCAAGCATTGCCAACGAACCGTTTCATCGAGTTCTTGAATCCAAAATAATCATTTTTATCACTGCCATGCTCAGCTTTCACATAATTTTGTAACATTTAATTCTTTAAAAGCGACTTTCTAAACAATTTTACAATACTTCTTATCTTCTTGATAGTTTCATTGATATTTACATGATTGCTTCTCGTTTCATTAGCAAAGTAAATTTCATTAATTGTCATCAAATTTTCAATTTTTATTGTTGTGTTCATATTCTCATTCTCCTTGTCTTCATCTTCACGGAGTTTTTTTCCCGAGTTCGATTCGTTTTTTTGGCAGTTATATTTGTGCTTGAATACATTACTTGTTTATAAAAAAAACAACAAACAGCAAAATGTATGCCGTTATGTAGTGCGTAGCATAAGTAATGTTCACTTTTGACTAATTTACCAAATTTGACCAGTGTTAGCACCATCTGTAACACATGCAATATTAAATTTCTGATTATTCAAGTCAAATTTTTCTAATTTTGCCGATATTTCATTCTCAATATATGCTGCAGAAAAAGATCCAATAATTCTTACCATTCCTAAATCCAAGAATTTGCCTCCATTTATGTGGTACATTTGAGAATTTACCTCCATTCATGTGGTACATTTGAGAATTTACCTTCACGCACACGGTTCATTTACCTTTATCCAATTTATATCGAGGTACCGTTATCCTGTTTTCTAGTGATTGAATTCTCTCAAGTCCTTCATCCAGTTTTGATAAAAAATTTCACTTTTACTTTCAGTTATAATTATATTACTTATATTGTAATGCATTATATTTACAACAGTACTGGAGTTCACAGAAAGTGAATAACCTTTTTCCTTTTATTGCTGTCTAATGAAAGTACTTTTCGTAAGTGTATCCACAGTAAACCCATCAGCAGCGACAAGTTTAACAACAATTTCTCCGAGAGTTTCTCTATCATTTTCTGACAATGTAAGTAAATTTTGTTTTCACTTACTATTTGAAGTACTCGTTTTACAATCATCGATTATTTTGTATCCAGCTTGTGCTGAATGATTTGGATCTACGTTCGATTTACCGATAGAGTAGGCTACTGTACAAAACAGGACGTTGAACATTGTACAATGGAGAATATTTATAACAAAATAGCTAGTAGTTTGTTATAAATATATAACGACTAACTTTAATTACAAAACATTAAATATACATAAATAAGATTTTAAATTCAATCTTAGAATTATTGCCAACTGTTGAGCAACACTGTCACAAAATGTTATTTTCTCCTCTGACTCTGCTTAACAGTAGTATCTTTCTCTTTCTGTTACTTTAGTGAGTGATAAAGACGAAACTATTATTTTGGAATAAGAAAATAAAATATTGGAAAGTCGTCTGCCAGTAATATTTCAGATAAAGTAAAATTAAAAACAACTATTAAAATTGAGCTGAAAAGAAGGACGGGAGGACAATACAATTCAATGGAGGATTGTCCTCCCAAATAAAGGGCGGTTAGCAAGTGCACAAAAGTGCTGATTCTTCAATGCTGAATTAATTCAATAGTAGACCAGCAGTGTAATAATGTAGAATCACACTTTTTAGCATAATCAATATAATTTAATTGATAATAACTACATTAAAATTATCGTAATTGTCATAATAATAATTCTTTCAAAAGATTTAGTACTTATGACCATCAGATACTATTGCAATTTCACTTTCTTCTGAAACATTTAATTACCGGTAATTAAATAAGGACAAAAACCGCTGGATCCGGGAAGGAAACCTTTGTCTTTATTTACACAAATTTGGGCGCTTTAATATCTAATTTAAACAAATTGGAGTCTTTTCAACTACAGATTATTAGATCTTTACTAAAACTGGATCGTTCAGTTCCTAATTATGCTATCGGAATCAGAACAAGAAGATTCCCAATTAAAAATTAATATAATTAAAAATTTTTTAATTTTCATAATTCCCTTGAACACATTTTATTAACTTATAGTTAATAATAGAAAAATCTGCTTTCCATAAGAAAACACATAATGGTTTAAACTCTAAAGCTCTTATTTTGAGCATTACCTCAGCAGGTTTCAATCTAACTTTAATATCTGATACGGACTATTAAAGTCTAGCTGTTTGATAGGCTCAGCAGTTCTTAAAACTTGATCTTGAGGTAACTGACTTCAGTGGTTTTTTTTATCTCTCCCTTCAAAGTAAAAGAGTAAGATACTGCTTTACTTTAGATTTATCATTACAATCTTCCCTAAGAGGCAATCTCGATTACGAATCACATTAAATACATTTACATTATAACTGTCAAAAAGTACACTTCATCTTAATGTTT